GCTGTCAAATTATTTTAAAAAATATGATTAATCACACTAGCATTGTGATTAGTCGCTGTGCTTAACTTTGGAAGCTTGAGATGTAAAAATCTACATGTTTTCAAAAAAAATTAAAATAAAAAAAGCCAAATATATTAGTTTTTATATTCAGGAAAGGAAGAAAATAACTCATTTTGTTTGAAACATAATTTAGAAATATGGATTATAAACTGGTTGTACTTTGGTGGAAGGCTAATTCATCGTTACAGAAAGTACGCTGCATGCTACCTTTAAAGTGAAATTTGATTACAGCAGTCCGACTCTCCTCACTCATCTTTTCACTCGTATTTTTGTTTTGTACTCTAAGACCAAGGTAACGCTCCGCAGGAGATAGAATCAAAATAGATAATGTGTCAATCAGTAATGCGATTAATCTGCATTATGTAATAGTAACGCATTACTCTTTTTAGATTAATCGCATACTTTAACGTTGCCACTGCTCCTCTGAAATCCCTTAAACTGCAATGAATTAATGAAGACAAACTTTAATGTCAGACTGTGGAGAGAAAATAAAGCAGCTGAAGCAACTTTTCCACCAGCCGACTGGAAACATTTGACTAATCTTCCTAAATGTCAAAATGCTGCTTTCAATAACCTGCCACTATACTTGTTTTATTTATTCAGATTATAATCCAGCAGTTCAAATGTAATACTTGCAGCTCTTTTTAATTTTAGTTGAGTCTACAGTACTCACAAGCTGCAAAACATCCTAGAATATTTATGTGAATATTTGTATATATTTGAGTCTTTATGCATATTTTGACCCTGAGTGGATAAAAGAAAACAAAAATCACAGATAAACTCCAACTTGTGCAGCTAATTCTTGATTTTAAGTTTTAAGCTTCATACTTACTCCAGCCTGGCAAAAATGGTTAAAAAATTATTAAGACACAAAACATAATTAATACCACCGACATGTGACTCATCCAGATTTTAAGAAACGAATGCAAAATTATTTTAAGAGGAACTCAGAAAAACTATTTCTTCCTAAAGTGGCTTCTCGCTCTGTATTTTATGTTTTTCTTTTCAAAAGAATAATATAAATAATTGAAACACTTAGTTTTTGTGTTGAATTATCACAGGAAGCAATCGAAAACGAAAGCTAAAGCCAGTTAAAAGAGTGAAATTAAATTCAAGATGTTTCACATCATTTTTACAAACATTAAGCACATTTCCTTAAAAGACAAAAAAAGCCAGTAGAATCAGAGGTTTATGACCAAACCTTCAAAATCAGACTTTCCAGAGTCAGTCGGTCGGTGTCCAACATGGTTTAGTTCATTTCCTGGTTCAACTCACCTGGTGGCTCCTTATCGGGCCTCTGCAGAACTTTGACCCGCTGAGCAGATAGTTGGAACGTTTTAATCTGCCGGGTTGGAGCGGAGACGCATCTGAAGCTGGCAGGAGACCAACGCTGAGGACAGCCATCATTTAAAGCTGCAGTACCTAAGTTTATAAAAACGTTTTTATGTTTTTACATATTTGTTAAAACTGTCATTAAGTTGTGGCAGTAAAATAATCAAGCTGCTCTGTCTGCTCCAAAAACCTGCCACTCTATTAACGATAACCATTCGGAGCCAGTAGGAGGATCTTGGCGCTCTCAATCACTCACATGTAAGCGCTACTCAAACCCTCCCACATTCGCCATCATCACTGATGACAGCGGATAAACAGTTTTCCTGCTACAGAAAGTTGTTTCTCTATTAGCACATTAAGCAGCACATACTTGTGGTGATTGACAGCACCATGAATCTCCTCATGGTTGCAGACTGTGAGGAGGCAGAGCAGTTTGATATTTTCAGATTTTCTCTCATTTCTTACCTTTTCCTTTTTCCAACATATTGGGAGTTTGTAACTTTTATAAAAAATTTACACTTTTTACATTTTTGCTCATGCTATAGCTTTAAGATAAAACTCTGCAACCTTTACAATCCAAAGAGCCATTTTTGATTGTTGTCTCAAAGTTCTGCAAAATTAAACTCATTAAAAGCTGCAAATATTACATAAACTTTAAAAAAAATGTTTTTATATAAATATCTTCTGTAGGTAATGTATTTTTTTAAAGCTACAATTTCAGTTTTTAGATTTTAAAATACAGAAAAAGTATGATTAGCATGTTTTCTTCTATAAGATTGTCGATATTTTAGGAAAATTATACTAAAAAAAATTATAGTTTTTAAACAAATAACCAGGAAAACACCTAAAAAAATATATTTTGTCTTCATGTAGTGAAAATTCAATAAAAATAATTCCATAAAAATCTTTTTATCATTTTAACTCTTGTTAGAGCTGCAGGTTTATAAAATAAAGTAAATCCTTTGAAAAATTTTAAAACCTGCAGAATGTGATGCAAATGTTCATTTTTAAAAAAATATTTTTTCTAAATATTACCCCAAATTTAAGCATTTACACTTTTTTTTTTTTACCTTTTTGAAAACTAATAAAAAAAATTTATTTATCTTATTCCCATCAAAGCAGGTTCAAACTTTTTTAAAGACCGATTAGGAAGCTTATATGACATGAGATTTTTTTTTTACTCTGGCTTCAAACAAGGAGACAAATGTGTAGAAAGAAGCAGCAGCACTCTGGGTTTCCTTAAAGATGGATCTGCTTTATAGTTCCTTTACATGCCGACATGTTATTTTCATTCATTCTCTCTTATTACAGTTTCCTTCACATTAGACAAACGGCGTGAAACGTTGACAGAGTGAAGGAGACGTGTGGCAGACTGAAGGCGACACCAAGACACACCTGAAACGTTCCCCTGCTACCTGCGGCTAAGAAGAGGTAAGGCACCACATGTTCGTTTCACTCCCTCTCTAGTTAAAAAACAAACCAACAATAAAACAACAGAGACCTAAAGGAGCGAGAACATTCGAACTGTCTCCGTTTTTGCGTGTGAAGCGGCAGCCGACGCCTCAGCAGGTCTGAACCGTTCCTCTGCAGCACCAACAAAAACAATCAAGTAATTTACTGGAAATCTGATAAAAATCTCTTCGTTTCACATGATTCCCTCTGTGTCAGAGAGCGATTATTCCTGCCGTTCCCAGAGGAAACCCCTCGGGGCGACGTCACAGGTTCGGAGCTAACCAGTTCAGAAACTTCATCGCCAACTCGAATCCCAGGAAGCAGGCCTGAGGAGGAGGAAGAAAGATGCAGTTTGTTCGGAGCAATGAGAAAAAACATCAACCAACATGTCAGTGACGCTTTATAAAGTCTAAATGTGGTTAAACGCAGGAAATTGTAGGTTTTTATGTCTCAAACACTGAAGCATTTTTCTAGACTCAGAGTGGTTATACTAGCAGCTTAGTGTGCTAAGCATTTCTATATAGATCTTAAATAAGGCTAGCTCTGACCTAGCATGACCCTGAAATTTGTGTTAAACTTGTTTTTACGTCTCAAGTAGAAAACAATTCTTTCTTAAAACGTTTAAATGTTGGCAAAAGTAATTTATGTTCACAGCTCTAGACGTCAAACTACAAAAATAATTGTAATTAAAAATTAAAAACACTATTTGTGACATATTTATTAGATTAATCAATAACTTTGTTGCTCATGTTGATTAAACCAAGATGGTTTATTACAATCACTGGATCAGTGTGGCTCAAACAGAAACCTCTACAAAAACAAATGTCTAAAAATAAACTCACTTTATTGCAGAGGCAAAGCCTCAGATTCAGAAGCTTTATCTCGTTAAAACAAGAAAGTTTCTCGTTATAACAAGATTTTTTTTTACGACGTACCACTCCTGAATTTATTTCCGAGCTCTGGGAGTAAAACGCTTCTGCAGCTTTGATTATAAAGATTTTTTTAAAAACTTTATAATCATTTTTGTAGGTAAAATATGAGCAAACTTTAAACAAACCATGACAGATTATGACCCTTGATTAAAAAGATTTAGTGACTTTGTACTGGTGGATAATTTTAACAAACATAGATTATTATGATAACACAATATTTCCTCACTGTAGACGACTAATAGAGGAAAGAAAATTACTTTAAAGGACGACATGGGCAAATAGCACCTGCTAGTGAAACATGTTTTTACAGGTTTAGCTATAATAACATTAACTCCTGAGGATTATCAGCTCTAATGTTCTTCCGTACAGCAGCTGTTTTACAAACAAAGATTTATAAAGACGATCAAAGCCTCTCTGTGCTTCACAGCACTAATATGAAAACCAAACTGGGTTAAATCTTCAACCAACAAGCGACAGCCTGCATGTCCACGACTTTGTCTTCTCATGATCTTCTACATCTCCAGATGTTCATCCAGCTGCTTTAAGCCTTTTTTACAGCTTTCTTAGGCTGAAGATCAAAGGATGGAGACTCACTGCGTTTGCAGGGAAAGCTCTGAGCATGACGGCGTTGAAGCCTTTGTACAGCGAGCCGATGCCTTCCTCTCGGACCAGTTCCCGCAGGACGTCTCTGAAACCGTTGGGATACTTTCCTTCAGGAGCTGATGGAGGGAGAAAAAGAGAGAGAGAGTTGAGGTTCTGCGTGAGATTCCTCTGAAATAAACGCCTGGGTTTTATTATAGAGGCAGCTTTTCCCACAACAAATCAAATTCAAGCATTTTCAAGGGATACTTCCAAACTTTTCCAGCACCACACTCTGGGGATAAAAACAATATAAATTTATATTAAAAAAAAGACAGTTTGATTTCACTTTTATATAATTTACTACTGTTACAAATAATCTCATGATGGTATTATAACTCTGCAACAGGGATGAGGTAAACTAAAATATGACAAATGTGGATGTTTCGAAAGAAAATAGGAATAATTTTGATAATTGTATCCAACCTAAAACAAAAATAAACTGAGTCTAAGTGGATGAATAGAAGCAACATTAAGCACCTGGATACCTGAATAATCCAGATTATTCTGGATACTTGAATAATCTGAGAAAACAAATCCTCTCACTCTGTTTCCATATTCCATATTTTCCATAGTCTAATTCTCTAGTTTTCCCGAGAGTAGGACTGCTGTCCAACCAGCAAATCAAACACGGGCCGGGCAGGACTGGGCTCGGCTCGACTGGGGTTGCCAGGTAACAGAGCAGCGTCCATCGATTACGACTTCTCAATCGGGAAGGTTTTGAAACAGCAGACAGTAAAAAACATCAACTAGTAAACAGCTAGATGTTTTGTTGTTTTTTTTTTTAAGCACTTGGTCTGCTTTTAGAAGCAGCCGAGACCCAAATGGACGAATAAAAACACGTAAAATGTGAATTCTGCATAATTTTTTAAGAAGCAAAAAAAGTGTAATAGAAAATTCAATGTCATTATATTACAGACGATACTGAAGTTTGATGTGGACGTGAGCACACAGGACAACGTTCTCGAAAGAGAAGAACGTGTGACTGTAACGTTTAGAGAAGAAAACCTGTTTGGAAGCGAGACTTGAGGACGTCGGGCGGGATCGCCACGGCCCAGTTGAAGATCCCGGCCATCCCTCCAGCAAACAGAACGCTGGGGATGCTGAGCTCGTTGTGGCTGCGGAGAGAAGACAGCTCTCGTCTTTCTGCTCGGAGAACTTCCTGTGAGGAAGCGGAGGAGGAAGAGGAAGTCCTCACCTTTTTCCTGCAGGTGTGAGGAGGTTCTTCAGCCACTCGTAGGACATGAAGTACATGCCGCTCGCTGGGACATCTGGGAAATAAAATTAAAAAAAAGATTAACATAACACTAAAACTCCCTGATACGATTTTCCAATCACCTTATGGTCAAATCAATGCTTTAAAAGCAAATTATTTATGACATAATTTAATAGTGACACTAGAAGCATTTCAATAAATCTGAATATCCTCAAAAAGGCAGTTTGAGTAAATCAGTTCAAAGAGTTAAATTCTTCACACACAGAAATGTATTTTAAGCATTTATTTCATTAAGGCTGCAGTCTTCCTCTGAAAAATACTATTTATATTTTAAAAATCTTATTTATTGGTCTTATGTGATGTTATAATTTTCAACCAAGTTTGTCACCGAGTGAATTTTCACTTTTTTAATAAAATAATCCTGAGTTTAACTGGGTGAATCTGTATTAAATCAAACATCTGGAACATATGCAGACAACCAAACCTGTCGCAATAATCAATAAACAAATTAATCTCATGATAAATTAAAATGAGCTCAATAACTTCCAATAATTTGAAGGAAAATTTTGTTTACAGAGACTTTATAATCCATTTTATTTATAGTTACAATTGCGTGTGTGTCTTTTTTATTGTTGCATTTTATTTTGAATTTTTAAACTCTACGGGGCAAATAGGTGGTTGAAATGTGGTGTTATTCAGAGCATGCGATAAAGATAAGTGGCCTCCGGAGGTCCAAAGTCCAAACTGCACTCTGAGGATTGTTACTCTGACATAATATCACAGCTTTCTGAAGCCTGAGCTGCGTGGATGAGTTTCGCTGGACTGATTACTGATTCAGCCTCAAATCCAGAACAGGAGCTTCAGAGATTTGTTGTGTTTTAATTATTAAGCTATAAACTGAAACAGAGCTGTTGTTTCTTCTTGACAGATGAATGTTTGTCCCATCGCTCCTACCAAACAAGTTGAAACTCTGCTGTAATGAGCCTGTGTTTGCAGATAAGTAAAGATAAGTTACAGAACGTCGCCCGCGGAAACTGGACACTCCCCGTTTCAGATCTACAGCCATGCTTGACCCAATTCCCAATTAACCGGTGTTTTTATAACATGATCTTTTCATATTATAAATGTGGAAATAAAATCAGAGAGTAATCAAAGTGAGGACGAACCTCTCATGAGGGTCAAAGCTGTGCCTTTGTAGATTCCTCTGATCCCAGACTCTTTGTACAGCTGCTTCACGCAGTCCATCGGCCCCGCGTACTTCACCTCTCCTGTCGATGCCTGAATCTGGAAACTCACACAAAACCTTACTTTAGCCCACACCACTTAATGTTTGAGGTTTGAATCCAGGTTTCAGGAACAGGAACGGACCTGCAGGAGACATTTGATGCGCTCTCCAGGAGCCATGATGGCTGTGGTGAAAACGCCCGATAACATCCCAGCAGCAAACAGCTGTGGATACCTGGAGGAGAGCAGAAGAAGAAGGTGAGGAAGAGCCGCCAGCTGTGGGGTGAACGCAGCCAGCTGAGGTGAATCGGTCACCTACGTAAGGATATCGTCAGGCGTCCTCTGCTGTAGCTTCTTGCCCAGTCCGAACCCAAAGAAACAGACGGCAAACATGGGCGTGACGCCGATTATTGGGGCTGCCATTCCTTTATAGAGTCCCTTCACACCCTGTGAGGAAACATCAGCATGAGGAGTAAGGACACCTAATTTATTATAATTTATTAACGTCAAATTCTAAAAAACAAAAAAAAAGTACAATGTCTGGTTTTGGTTACAATAATTACACGATTACTCAGTGTATCATATTTGATACAAGAGAGCAAAACAAAATAAAGCAAACCAGGAAATGTTTTAAATTGTTATTTTTTGGGAAACTCTGGCTCTAAAGGATTAACTCTACGACATCAAATGTATCATTTATTGATGCCGAAACTTGTGAAACTTCTTAACAAAAATACATTTGAATAATAAAAAAAAAAAAAACTCTACAGCGTGGAGTAACTGGAGAGCGGATATGCTGCTCTATATATTACTACAAAAGCCTAATGTATCAATTACAATGCAAACAAATTGGAAAATCTTATTAATGTTTCAAGAAAAAAATGTTTTTTGTTATGTAAAAGCATTTAGATAACAGTTTAATTACAAAAATCAGATTTAAAAAATATATTTGTATTGGGCTTTGAAGGGTAAATGAAAATAAGTCTGCATGCTAACCTCTTTGGCTAAGGTCTTTTTAAAACAATCCAAGGTTCCAGCATATAAGAGGCTCTCTCCGGGTTTTGGTTTAGGCTGAGTTTGTAGGCGCACCTGAGAGGAAAGGAGAACACAAATGAATGAGTAAATGAATGAATTTTTCTTTCATACATGAAGAAAAATGAAAAATATCATTGCAAAAAAAAAAAATCTCTTAGTTTCTGCAGTTCTAATAGTCTAATAACTGATAAGCTGAAGAAACTTTATGTATGCACCTTGTTAAGGTGTCCCTAAATAAGTATCTGGTGAGAGTTTATTGTACTTGGAGATGAAGGAGATTTTATGTGTGTCTAGTGTTGTAGCACCTATCAGCAGAAATCTCCAGAAAAAGGAGATTATCAACTGAACGATGCATCTCAAGTCTTTTTTTCATTTTGTAAATATGTGACTTTTAGACAATCTTCATCAGCTACAAACACTGTTTTTTGTACACTTTTCCAACTACATTAAAAACTTTAAGTGAAGAACTTATTCAGTCGTGAAACTCCGATCAAATCCACTTCAAGGAATCTGAATTAATCTGCCTTTTGTTAAGTCTAGTCAGACTCCCACATAATTAATGTATGAGGCTGAATGAGGTTTCAGGCTTGGCCAGCTCAGGCTGTTGATCTGGTCACACCCCACTTTTCAGGTGACCTCTCTACCTGAGCAGCAGAAATCACGTGGCATCTTGAATCTGGGTCAAAGGTTTGCAGCAGCAGGACTGAGACGCATCCGTGACACCAACACATTGAACTCTTCAGCCTGTTTTCTGTTTATAGTCAGTCTCTGCTGAACCCGGATGCTTTTTGTTGATTGTTTCCCGAAGTAGAGCGGTGACAAACACAGACACAACATTTAGCAGTGTTTACTTTGATGGTGTCCAGTGGATGACCGGCGACAACCAGGCAAACCCCACCGAAACCTCCAGCGAAGAAGTTCTTCATTGGGCTGATCGGCTGCGGCTGTTTGGCCATTTTTACTTCCCGCTCTGCAGAGAGAGAGAGGGACAGTGTCAAAAACACGACAAAATGTCGCTGCGGGAGACATAGATGAAACACGGGGACACAATGAGAGACAATTATAAAGACCAGACAACACCTCACTCGCTCTACTTTTTCTCTGAGAGATCCGATGGAGGGCTCCTGCTGTCACTGCGGTCTAAAGGACCTTTAACCCACTTTACCCGGACTGCTTTCACTGCGACACAACGATTTGGTACGAACATCTGTTTTGTCCGGGTGGAAACTTTCAGTTGTCTTACAATGTAGATAAATGTATTTTTCTATTTAACATTACTTCTAATTATTTATTTATAAGATACTACTTATTATTAATAGCGTAAAAAGTTAAGAAAATGAAGAACGTAGAGGACTCTATCAATCATCATAGCAGTTGTAAATATACAGAATATACAAATGAGTTTATTATTATTATTATTATTATTATTATTATTATTATTATTACGGTAGAGTTTGTCCACACCGATATTCTTCTAACGTATTTTGTTTAGTCAAAAAGTTATTTTCTCCTGACTTTTTACTGCCATTCGTTGTGTTTTCTTACTCTTGACGGTTGGTGGTTACCATAGTAACCACTAATGGCTTGTTCCTTTTTTCTGTTGCTGTGTAACCATGGGATATGTATTAGGATCAACTCTCTGTTTTCTTTACCATTATTATATTTTAACATATATTTTTGACATAATTGTTTATATACAGAGTATTGCGTTATTTTGCCATGCTTTGAACTGTTGTGTTTAATTTTATAGCTTAACTCTTTTGTCAGTTGTTCATTGGGAACAATTGTTCTGTAGTTTAACTTTATTTATTATATTTTATTGAAGGTACAGAGTAAATTCAGTGAGCCTGAGTGTGTGGCAGGCGTTGGATAACAAAATAAAAGATGATTTGATACTGAAGTTATTCTGACAGTTTATTAGTAAACCATCTTCATTGTTATTGTCCTATTGTTTGAATTATTTGCTCCTAACCATCACAAAAGACAATAGCACTGTTAAAATATAGCTTTATTAGTTTCATTACACAGTTGCAGCATTTTTGCAGACATTGCCAATCATAAGGGTGTTTATCACTCAAACAAATTTTACACGTATTGTAAACAAATACACCATTAGTCAAAGAAACCAACACTCAGACCACTAACGGAACAAGTCAGCGTTGGGCCGGATGGTGGGGCCAATTACCGGGCCCCTAACCAATCACCGGGCCCCTAACCCATAACCGGGCCCCTTACGTGGAGTGAAACTGAAACTGTTGAGTGGAGGCGAGGGCGCACTTTCTCTGTCTATAATCACATATTTCAATGACTTGAAACCATTCCTCCCTCCCTGGCACCTCCAGGCCCGGGCCCCCATCCGGCCCGGTTTGGGGGGCAGCAGCCCCCCAAGCCCCCACTATAGCTCCACGCCTAACTCAGACATGGATTTTAGAGAAAGTGAAGAAGCGTTTCTATTGGAGGAAAACCAGCAACAACAATATATGAAAAACAAGGACGTCAGTTACAACAATGACGTATTAAACAAGGTAAATAACATAAAAACCACAGTGAGATCATAAAAATGCCTTGGATTTGTCTTTAAGCATGATATTTTTTTCAGCAGGAATACAAGATTATAACTGAACAAGTGCATCATACCTCACATACAGCCTCTTTTCAGCACACTATCTAAATATGTGAGGGGTGATTTCTTATGTCTTCCAAGGCTTTGCATTTTAGGAAAACAGAATAATTATTGTAAGATATACAAAAGCTAAATGTAGCAGAAGGAGGCGGATGTAGCAGAGTTCAGAGGAGCAGAAGCAGCCATGAGGTCTGTAGAGATGAGTGTGCTTTGCCTTTCTAAGTCAGGAAGTAAACTTGCTTTAAGTGTAAATATTGAGAGGTTTTATGGCACAAAAAGTCAGGGGTAGAAGTGCAGTGACTATTTAAGAAAATAATACTCTCCGTAACACCCAGTAGTTTGGTCCCTCTACGAAGGGAAGCTCGCAAAAGTTTTTTCTCTGGCACTGAAACAAACTACAGATTTGTCTCTTGATATTTTCTCTGAAAGCTATTTGGTTTAAGTTAGTTTGGTTAGAATAAGACTCAGCTGTGATTGCAGTAGATTTTATCTGACAAAGCACATACAGTTAGTCCATATGAGACTCTTATTGCTTTTAAATTCACTTCAAGAGCTGCTTGGCAATTACTTTTGGCTAACTGTACTTTATGAGTTTTTAATATTCTCAACATCCTTTAAAACGCTAAAGAATTGTCTATCATTTAAACTAACTAACTGGTGAAATGTAGAAACATGCACAGTGCATCCCCGGAGAGCCTGTTGTTCTTTTCCTCAGCTGGTGCAGAAACCATCAGTCTTCCAGCAAACCCCACCTTCAGCAGACGGGAGCGAAACTACAGCGTGTGAATGTGCACCACACGGATATGGTCAGTTCTGGTTGTCGCAGATCTGTGGGAACTCCTTGAAGATCTGCTGCACAATTAGCTTATCCATGTGTTTGGCCGTGGCGCTCCCTTCGTCCTCTCCAGGGTCTTCCTCCTCCCTGAGAATCCTCTTGAGCGACCCCTGCAGGTCAGAGAGGCGGTGCTGGTGCTCCGGATAGTCCGTGGAGTGCATTATGGAGTGCATGAGGGAGAGGTACTCCATCCGCAGCTTCAGGAGCAGGAAAAGAAACGATTCAGTTCAATTCATTTATTTCAAAGGGACATGCACATTAATAAACATCAATTTTATTTCCCACTGGGATCAATAAAGTATTTTTTAATTGATTTGAAAACAAATGTTACCATGCAAGTGATAAAATGGAATATATTCGACGCTACTTCATATAGCATGCAAAAAGATTTCAATTAAAGACTTTGAGAGTTTCAGAAATCAACTATTTTACCACCAAATATAAATTACTTTGACATTTTTTTTTTACTCAAAACTCTTTTGTTCAAATATTCAAAGATTGAAAAAGAGCTATGTTCAGCAAGACGTATTCAACTATTACAAACAGGTCATTTCTCTGAATCCTTAAGATGCTGATTAATATTTCTGCATATACAAATTAAAACTGTGAAGAAAACCTTCCACACTTTCCTTTTCCTATTGATCAAGTCTAATTTTTCTCATATTTTAACTAATAAAACAGTTGAAATTAAAAATATGCAGCTTCTTTAAAAATTTTTGTCTTTTGGCTCCTTTGACCAGGGTGAAAACAGCTCCCTCTAGTGGCTCTTTGTGGTATTGGAATCTTGATGATACTTGAATTGAAGAAATTTCTCACTTAGTTTTTCGTTGATAAAGTTTTTAATTATGTTTTATGTGACACAAATTAAGCATCAAAAAAGCTGAAGTAAAAAGCTGATTTTCCAGCTTCCTCTACTGTTTCCATCAAACAGACAGAACTATAAATATCCAACAAAACCTTCCTGCCTGCATCTCAGTGCTGCGTCAGCTGCTGAGAGTCTCACCTTGTCTCCGGGAGACAGGTCAGAAATCTGTCGGACGGCGATGTCTATCATCACCATCATGTCGGTGCGATAGAAGATGTTGGCGGTCTCTCTGCTAGCAAAGACATCCTGCAGGAACTTGAGCACAGAGTGAGGCACAGGCGGCGTGTGTTTGAACATGCACACTGGATCCTCTGCAGAAAACAGGAGATTTCATTTAGAAAAAACACATCAGAGCCCATTAAAGAGTGGGAATCATTACTCTGTGGGATTTCACCTCCTCTGTTCAGAAGCAGCAGCACCTTTTCTGTCAGGGCCTTGACGTTTTTCTGCTTCAGCTCCTGCATTATTGCATTGTTGCTCGGCACTGGTTGACAGAAATATGGGGTTTAAAAAGGTTTTTCTGACCAGAGAACAGGACAACTAAAACATTTCTCAAAAGCAGAGATCAGTAAAGGAGTTGTTTAATATGTGAATCATCTTCTCTGACCCGTGTGGTGCAGGTTGAAGGCCAGCAGAAGGTTCAGGAAGATGTCCGGCAGCTGCTCAGTGGGGTCAGAGGGCAACCCGTCCTCCACCACACCCAACAGGAAACGAACAAATTCAGCGCTAAGATGCTCTGCAGACACAGAGGTTCCTGTAGCTTCAGTTTGTCCTCGTACCGAGAATCATGTTAAAACATCTCAAAACAAAGAGACGCGTCGTACCGTAGTGGTGATACGGCACCTGCTCTCCCATCGAGAATATCATAGTTAATACCAAAGCTGTGTAGCACATCTTCTGGTGTTCTGGAGGAAAAGCAAAACAAATGCACAACAAAAAGGACAAAATCATGTTAAAAATAATATCAAACAATTATTCCTTGTTTGATAATTATTCAAACAATTTGTTTGTTCAAATTTTCTACATGTTTTCAGCAAAATGTTCTGGAGAGGTGAACAAAACCCCCAAAAATAAATAAATAAATCATTCATCAGTTAAACTGGTTTTTTATTTTATTGTACAAAGAGGAGCGTTCTAGAGAGATTTGACTATTGCAAATCTACAAATGCAAATAAAACCATAAAAAATTCATTTAAATATAGCAGAGTGGAAGTGAAAACCCTTAATGTGGTCAGAGAAATCTACTTTTAGAAAACAAATGTGGAAACCTGTCACAAGAAGCAATTAACCACACAATAAATTAAAATGAGTTTGATCATTTCCAGTCTCGCGATTAATATTTTTTGAAGGCCAATTTTGCATATAAAGACTTCATAACGCATTTTATTTATGATTTTGGTTTTGTGCAGTTTTTATGTCCTTTCTCTTAGTTGTTTCTGACTATTGTGTTTTATTTTGGGTATTTAAAATGTCTTCTACTTCCTGTGTAGTTTTCTGCACAAACGTTTATTAGTCTTTGAAAAGACAACTTACGTTATTATATTGTTATATTAGTTGAGAATGGTCTGATGATGATTAATATATTTTGAAGGGCAATTTTATTTACAGACATCATAATCCATTTAATTTATTTACTTTGGTTTTGTACGGTTTTTGTTTATTTTTGTGTTTTATTTCAAAATGTCTTCCAGCTCCATCTCATCCATATTAGTTGAAAATGGCGTCAAAACGACAATATTATTGTTTATCACAATCATTTCTGGGACGATTTATATCGTCCAGCAAAATGTATTCCAGTGACAGACCTACAGACGTGAAAGCTTCCCACATATGAGGCGATGCACGTTAATATTTGTGATGTTCCTCACCCTGTGTGTCTGTCTGCAGGTCTCTGGCCAGTTCCATGGGCAGGATGGAGTTCAGCAGGGTGGAGATGAGCACCGCGTCCAGGCTGCACATCGCTCCAAACACTTTGAGCAGCAGCAGCCGCAGAGATACACGGTGCTCCTGCATGAAGCCCAGCAGAGAGAGAGAGAGTCAAGCTGCACATAGCAACACAAGTCAAAGGTCAGCCAGGAGACAAGCTGAACACCTCAGCAAGACACATTTACAATATGAAGATCTTTGGTGAACACGTGTGATGCTGAAACTGTGACACTATTTTATAAAACAACAGCAGTAAGCTACACATTACCATCTGATAATATGAAACCAGCGACAGAACATTCTCGTAGTTGTTGGACTTGCACATCCTCTTACACACTTCTGGATCTGCATCAGTCTGGAAACACAAACAGGCCGAATGAAGAAACACTGAAACAGAGAATAACTTAGAAAACTTAGAGAAACACATTGCAGGATGAAGAGTCCTCTAATAATCCAAACTCAGCTCACAGAGACTCAAACTGATCAGAGGCAGTTCATCTGGCTTTGCTGCTTTTTGTGAGGTCACTTCCAGTCCTGCAGGCAGAGTCCCTGCATGTTTGTGATTTTTACAATCCATATTTATTCAGGCCAAAGATTTCCAGATTTATCAGTCAGTGTGTGACCAGAAAACAGAAGTTCACTGAATCTATGGGAGGATTTCAGGATTTAAATATGCAACTGGAAAAAAACCAGAAACTGTGAGGAAGAAAGACAAGACTGGATGGATGGATGGATGCTTGCTCTAATGAAGTTGCTGTGTTGTCGTTGTCATGGTTACCAGTATCTTTAGCAGCTCCTCCAGGTAGCAGGCGATGAGGGCGTGGTCCTCATGAAGAGCCCAGCTGCGCTGCTGGGAGTCGTCACGGTGACGGGCGAGGTCACTGAAGATGACCTCCAGACGCTGTTCGTCGTGACACACCTGACCCTGCGGCAGCGCTGCACTCAAGTCCTGCAGACAGTTCAGTTCAGTTCAGTTCAGTTCAGTTCAGTTCAGTTCAGTTCAGTTCAAAAATACATTATTGATCCCAAAGGGAAGCAAAAACCCATCAGTTCTGACAGATAAATTAGCTCCAGTTAGCAGCTTAAAACAATAATAGAAATTCAGCAATAGGTAAAATATATGCATGCAGTTCAAATAAACAAGTTTTTTCTTTTATTCAGATTTGTTTTAGTAAACCACTTGGCCACCAGAGGACATATAAGCAGCTGTTAGACATCACTGAGATATTAAATCTGGATTAATTCAATTTAACTACTGTTGTTATTATTCTTAGGCCTCTGCCATAAAGATTTGTGTTTCCAGTCAACTTGTGAGTTAAGCAAATTTAATTAAAAATGATCACTGATGTAAATGTTGAGCTTTAAATATAAAACCTCACAGGATGTGGTATTTCACTTCTCTTTTTGTGCCTCTGCAACCAGTTTATTTTTATCAGAGGTTCTTTTTTTATCAAACCTGCAGCTGCTGAAAAATGAAAACTGAAGCCCTAAAAACTAAAATAGTTTTAACACTGATGGCAGATGATGCTATCGTTGTTGCACAGCACTGCGGTGCAGTTTTTAAACCCGTTTTTAAAACTGCTATATAAATAAATGTGACACTGGGTGCTGCAACAAAGTATTAGTCTAAAGGTGTACATATTTATGTAACCGGGTTTTTAAATTGTTTCAGTTTGTTTTTCAGTTGAATTGAACAGGTCATAGGTCACCTTAAAGGTCAAATCGTTTGTCTTGCCATCACTTGGACAGGGCTGTGGAGACTTTACATATCCACTGTGTGTGTGTTTAATGTGTGTGTGTTTAATGTGTGTGTGTTTAATGTGTGTGTGTATAATGTGTGTGTGTTTAATGTGTGTGTGTATAATGTGTGCGTGTATAATGTGTGTGTGTGTTAATTGTCATTCTCATCTGGGCCCCCTGACTCTAAACGTCTGTCTCCGCCTCTGTCTGTAACTCTAGACTCTGAACAGGCTTCAGGAATGCTGGATCCGCATGACGCAGTGAAAACAAGCCTGACCTTGCTCTCCACCAGCGACAGGAGAACCCGCTCCAGAGCGGCGGCCGCCTGCGGCAGGGCGGTCTGCAGGTGGCCCACCACCACGCCCACAGCCACCCGCGACAGCTCGAAGCTCAGCCCCGTGTTCTTCCGCACCAGCTCGATCAGTTCGGCGCTGATCGTCATGGGAACCGGCTCGGAGGCCGAGGGGCTGCCAGGAGGGCTCCCGGCCACAGACGGGGGGGCCACGGGCCATTCGGGCCCCGCCGTGTCCGCCACGGAGAGCTGGGCGGGGGCGGCGTTGGGGTGGGCGGGCTCGGAGAACTGCGGGAGCTGCGGGAGCTGTGGAGGCTGCGGCGCCGGGCTTTTCTTCACAGGAGCCGGCACGGGAGGAGAGTCAGACGGCTGGACGTCCGAGGGTGGGATGGGGGGCTTGACGCGAGACGGCACGGGAGGAGGAGGGGTGCTGGCGGCGCTGGGCAGGCTGATGTCAGAGGTGGCCAGGGAGGAGCGGGAGGCGGACTCTGTGGAGGTGGTGCTGATGGTGAGGGAGGGAGCGGGTGACGCGGGAAGGGAGGACACCCTGGACGGGACCTCTGGCTCTGCAGAGAGGGACAGGAATCCGGTTACAGAGGAGCTGAGCGGCGCTGACCTGACTAAGAATAGAGCGCAGCGCAGGACGCATCAGCAAAAACACGCCGCCGCCGCAGTTCACAGCCAACAGGTGGAGGAACTGAGGGCCTAACCTGGACGCCGGTTGTTTCTCTGCTTCTCAGGCGGAGGGGGAGTAATCGGAGCGGCGCGCCGGGGCTGAGGCGGCACCTGCACAGAGGAAAACAAACCGGGCCGAGTTAGCAGAACCCCGATGCCTCATTACAGACACAAACATGATTCATATGGACTTTTATAAGAGAGTAAAATTAAAATCGTTTCATTTTCAACATACCTGTAAATTACTTTCTATGCTTTTTTTAAATTCATAAACTAGAGTATCTACAATAAACATTACAGACAAACAAAAAGCAAAAAGGGGTTTTAATCTACAAAATAAATAACTGGATAACAGGACAAATAACAAAATAACACAAATAAAATAACCAAACAAAGGAGGTTTAAATTAAAACGGATACATTCAAATAAAGACAAAACATAATCAATTGGAAATGGTTTAACTGTGGATTAGGATAAACTTTTATTTCTACACTCCAGCCATAAAATATTAAAACATATTTTATTTAAATAGGTTGGAGACGAGCCTCTTCAACCATCAGAATGACCTTTTTACAGTAAAGTCTTCAGTCTGGTACTTTTTTGTTTTGAAGGACAAATTTGTTTACAGAGACTTATTTTGTTCATTTATCTTGGATATTTAAAATGTGCTAAATATTCATCAGAAATTAAAGTTAATTGATCTTTGAGAATGTTTCCCTGGATTATTATTCCTTTACCGTTATATTAATTGAAAATAGTCTCAAACTGACAATATTATCGTTTATCACAATAATTTCTGGGACAATTTATTGTCCAGCAAAATCTGTTATTGTGACAGTTCCAGTTGGAAACCCTGAGAACTAAAATATTATACCTAACAAGATCTGTGAATGTATTCTGGATTTGGTATACACCTTAAATAATTTGTATATAACCTGTATTAGTATTTTTTCATTAGTATTATTGATTTTATCTAACAAGGTCATGATGCTGAAATGCAAACTTTTCTAAATCCAGCAAACCAGAAACTAGCTGAAGCACAGAGCTGAGATCTTTTATTAAAAATGAGTGAGACAAACCCAAAATGTAACATTTCTTCCAAGAAAAGCAATGGAAAGCTACTTATTTTAATGCAGGTTTTCCCCCTGTGTATTATAAGCCTGGCGGGCCACCAGGCTTGTAATGCAATTAATTATAAAACAGTTTCCTGTTTTGAATAAAGCTCCAAAAACAGATGAATGACATTTTGAGCCGTGCAGCTGTGTGTGCAGAGAGCGTGTTACCTGGTAGAGGCCCGGCTCCGCCTGCATGCTGTCCATGCTCCCTGACAGCGGCACGCTTCCCTGTCTGCCGTAGTTCTGGTTCAGGCCGTTGGGAGGAGGAGGCGTTTGGCTCAGGGATATTTCACTGTTGGAAGCAGGAAGTCTGTGTCCAGTGGAGGAGGAACTTCGCCGAGCCAGGGTCTCCTTTCTGTGGTGGATCAGCTTTCTGCATCACAGCAAAACAACTATTTAATTGACAGAACATAATGCAGAATTGCTGCGTTATGTTCTGTCTTACTGTAGAACATCTCGCTGCTCCAGATTGTATTTGCCCCCATTCTTCAAGGCCACATTGTGGATGCCTTCGATCGCTCGGTCAATGGACTGCAGAACCTCATCTTGCTCCGGAGCCTGGTAGAAAAAACCCCCAAACAACAACAAAGAGGTGAAATATTCATTGGTATGGCAGCATTCATAGCTATTAAATTTTAAGCTTAACAGGACATGGCCTGGGGACATATGTGGCTGTAGGCGGAAACAAACTGGGTCAGTTATGTAACAACAACAGCCTTTTTACAAACACATTCCTTAGAAATTCTTCATTGGGATTTCAACTGATGGGTAAACGTAGCGTTGTCTGTATGAAAGGGAAGAAAAATATTTATGCAAACAAAAATCTGAAATGTGTGGCAGGCATTTGTATTCAGCCTCTTTATTTAGACGCAGTGGACCCGCAGTACTCACAGGGTTCAGGATCCACAGCCAGAGTTTGGTAGTAACTGGTCACATGCATTTGAGTAACTTTTTGGGGAAAAAAATGTACTTTTAGGACTATTTTTACTAAGCTGTTTTATTACTTGTGTAATTTTATTACAAAGTATTTCTACTGTTACTTGAGTAAAATTTCTGGACTCTCTATCCACTGTGACACTTCACTGAATGAAGAACAAACTTGCTTTAACCAAAACAATCACCATACACAGACCTGCAGCTTTTCTAAAAGTTTCATTAGTTTTATATTGATAGAAACTAATTTGTTATTTGGTATTTATGTTATATGAATTGTTTTTGTTTTAGTCCTTAAAATATCGAAACTTCCTCATGCCTTAACAAAATCAAATGATTGATGTTTTGATCAGTTTCTCAGTAATTAAATAGCCTTTTTTCCATTTTTTTTTTAAATTTTGACTGTTGAGTAATTTTTTAAACTTTAATTTGAATAAAAATATGTTGAAATACTCAAGTACAATTTTACCAGTTTTGCAAATCTAGAAACTGAAATGTTTGCTTACTCTTCCTTGGAAAATAACTTAGGTTGAGTCTGACAGTAAAATGTAAAAATACATTTTCAATTCTTGTTACAGATTCTGTATTTAATTCTGAGCAGGTTCCTCCTTGACAACAGCATGATGCTGCCACTACCATGTTTCACAGTTAAAGGTGTGTTCATGGTAATATGACGTTAGTTTTCAACCACAAAAAGTCTAAGTTTGGTCTTAGCAGGGCAACTGACAAGACTGAATTTTATTTAGCAGTAGATTACAAGGGGTTGAATAAAAATGCACACCACACTTTTTGGATTATCATAATTTCCCCTCAAATTCACAATCATACAAAACACTGTGGTGTTTTATCAGATAAAACCACTATAAAGTACAATAAGGTTTGCGTTTGTATCCTGACTGAATTGCAGGGCTCTATAATTACAGTCAGGTGTGCTCAAAAAACCTCAGATTCAGGCTTATCAAGTTTAGGAGACGGACGGCATGGGTCTCCTGCCAGCTCATGCATCCAAAACAGCATGCAAGCTCCGACTAGTTAGTCTGCATCCAAGGGCAAACTCCTCATCACTGTACCCATGTGGGTGTGACTGGGAGAAACAGAGAAATACAGCATGAATCATGCAGAAAGTTAGCAGAAAGCAGTTTCCTGCAGCTGATCGTGTCTTTATTGTTTGATTTTCCTTTTTGCCATCCCATCAGTATTCAACTCCACTTCTGTCCCATCCTCTCTGCAGCTGCAGTGCAGAAAGATGAAGGAAAGTCTCTGCATGATGCAACATTTCCTATAATTTATGATTTATTCAGCAGGCATACACCACTGAATATGTCTCTCTCGATTCCATTGATTCAGACCTTTTAATAGCCAAGCGCATCAAGAGGCTGAGAGCTCGGTGTTCAGACAGAGGGAGAGAAACGTGGAAACAAACGTTTTTTCATCAGTCTGGTGTACCTGCAGTTTTTCGATGTAAGAGGCCGGGATGTAGCCGGTTTCCCCTGAGCTGCAGCGGGACCCCAGCCACCAGTGTTTGTTGCTCCTCTCCAGGATTAGAAAGCTCTCCCCGGCCGCGAAGTGCAGCGAGTTGGGCTCGGACGATCGGAAGGCGTACAGAGACCGGTACATGTTTCAGAAATACTTTGACAAACCGAAAACGGGTCGGGGAAAAAAAGCCGAGAAAAAGTGTAGAGTCCAAGTGGAAGGATCTGCTCAGCTGGAGGGATTTAAAGAGCCTATGAAGGCATGGCTACAGTGAATGGCTGATGTCTATTTACAAAGCAGCTAAGATCATCTGACCCCTGTCATACTACTAAATGCCCACGAGGGGCGCTGTTACATCCTGAACGCACCCACCAGGCATTTTAATCGATATCAGAGCTCTTGCTGGATTTTACTCGATAATCAATGTATTATAAAATTATTGCATAATTGATTTACATAAACAACTATATTATTATTATTAGAAATGATTATTAAGACTTAAAAAAAGAAATCTAAACTTTTACAAAAATATATATTGTTACTAACTTTTAGTTAGATGCAGCTAATTTACCTACTGTAAAAATATTAAGCATAAGCATAGATTTATTTGGTCCTGTATAATAATATTCACCCAAAATAATATAAAATATTTGAATCATGGTGCATAATGTTGGATGTAAAGTTTAATGCTAAATGGTGTGTCAATGATAATTTATCAAATAAATGCAACAAAAGAAATAATAAAAGGTTTTTGTAATGAAACCGTATGTTTTGCTTTGAATAGTATTAGATTTCACAGAAAATTATAGTAGGCAATGTAAGAAGTAAGGATTGGCTCCTTTATTTCAAATTTCAACATTGTAAATAAATAACATTGTTAAAGGTGATACCATACATTACACCTCTGAATGTGCCATAACAGCAAATTCTAAAAAAATACTATTTAATATTTAATTACAAAAACTTAATTTTTAGGTCTGTTAGTTTAACCTTCTGTGATCAGCACAGCCTAAAATATTTAACTAAAAAAATATTTATTTTGTTTGAATGTTTTTATTTTTTGATTATGTTATTTAATCATAGTCTTTAAAAAAATTAGACATAACCTTACATATTAGTCTGTCTGTGGAAATAGTTTTGAAATATTAAATCAGATATATGACCATATTCACTTTACGTTTACCTTTACTTGAGTACAGTTTTTGGCTACTCTGGTCACCTCTGGCTTTAACTAATTATTTAGTTGCCCCAGTTGCCCAAGTATTGTAAAACTGTTACCTTCTCTGTCGGTGGATTTGAGTAAAATTAGTTCAAACCTCCTCAACCAACGTGGGACAAAATATTGTTCGACTTTTCGACGCACGACTGTTCAGTGAGAATGTGGTGTTACAGCGTATTCCGTCCCCCTGCGTGTCACCGGCTGAAACATGGCCGCCAGGTTCCTCCTTCAGAGATCAACACGGGGACTTCTGTTCTCCTCCAGATCTGTACCCGTGTTCTCCAGGTATGTTTCATTAAAATCCCTGAATATTTAACCCTTAAACAACAAATTAGGGATGAATATGTTCGCTCTTTATTGTCTCATTTCTCTAAGAAGGTAGGACACTTTAATGCTATGGTTGCAGTTACGAAAGAGTCCCTGTAGTTTTTTATATAGTTCTGTTTTTAAAGTAACTGCCGTATTGATTCGCTTTTATTTTCACTAAGACTTTCAGCCTTGATTTAATGCTATGCTATGCCTAGTTTAAATGACAATATCACAGTTTACAATTGTTAAACAAAACAAAACTTTCTCTGTCGCTTAGCAAATAAACAGGCTTACAAAAAAAATCTGCCTCTTATAATTGATTATAAAGAATACGAGTATTTGGCAAATGTATTTACGCTTGTGCATGTCTTGTTCAAAAACTGGCCTACAACATTTGGCTGTCAGTGGGTTGCTGTTGGCTCTTTGCCTCTTGAATGGGGCCATTTGTCAGACCTGCAGCGCATTCTGTTATTTAAAAATTAACATGATGGAGGAAAGTATAAAGACTAATTCATAGCATCTCAGTTTTTTTAAGCAATTCTTGCATTGCGTCACTGAAAGTATGGTTTTACTTTAATTGCAGTGTTCACATTCAACCAGGAATAATATGTAATTTGATTTAGGTATTTCTATGGCCTATATAAGAATTTAAAAGAAAACAGAATATGGCAAAAATACAACCCTAATTTCAATTCTCGTGTCTTTGATTGCAGCCCATTTCTCTGCCGAGCTCACAGATTAGGGCCAAGTGATGATGAGATATACCAGCGGACCACCGTGTCCATCATGAAGACGGAGGCCCACAATGGGATCCTGATACACAGCTACAGTCCTATGGGATTCAACATCGATGGTAACCGGGTGTTTGGGCCCTGCGCTGTGATACCTCCTGCCGTCCTTCAGTGGAACGTGAGATCACAATCCAAACAGTCCCCACACGGCTTATTGTGTTTTTCTTTACAGGTGAGTGTGTTCTAAGTTGGAAAAAATGTGTCTGTCTGCAGGTTGGAAGTTCTGAAGACATCACAGAGGAAAGCATCTCTCTCTTCCACATGCTTGAACCACCTATAGGTACGACTTAGAACCACAATTTCACATAAGAAAAACAAGATTTTCCAAATACCTGAAGCGTTTTGATTTACTGAGTGTAAAATATCTAAAATTTAGCTTTCTTTGGTTGGTTGTTTATGATGTGGTTCCTCTAGCAGGAGTCATACAATTTGACAAAATGTATTCGTCATGGGTAGGATGGACAATAAATAAACATCACTGTAGACATCTGATCAGTATCATCTAATAGAATATTTAATATCAGTATATAGAATATTCATTTATCCTCGATATAGAACTGCACAGCATTCTGGGAAATGTAGGCAAAAGGAAGGTTTTAGCTCCTCAACCTCTCATGACCAGCTAGCAGGGTTGGTGGAATCAACTAACTAACTCACTCTGTGGTCACCTAGCAACAACCCATTGAGGAACTTGTGGTTACCTAGCAACAACCTGCTGAGTTGCACAACATCAGTTTAATGTTTCACTTCTGCTACATTTAAGTAGTTTTATTCTACATTTAATACTTTAAAGGAGTGGTTGCAGGTGTGAATAATTTTAGCATTTCCACAATTGGAAATGTTCTGTTTCTGGGTGTTTGTATATATTTTTTGCTTTTGCATAATTGGAATATCAGTACAGGAATCAATTGTAAAGCATCTTTAGCAGATGTGACATAATTTGTGAAGACCAATGCATATTTCTTTCATGTTAATGTCCATTTATATTTTTTTCCTAAGGCATATAGTATTTAGAATGATTTACTTTTTTTTTCTCTGCTGCTTCAGAGATTCTTGTGCTGGGTACAGGGTCAAAGGTCGAACGAATTAACCCCTCGGTCCTTGCACTCTTGAAGCGGAAACGCATCGCTTTGGAGGTGCAGGACACGGTAAAGATCACTCAATCTCTCTACGATAGATTAAAATAGAAAAAAAGATTTTACTTCAATAAATGTGTTAAAATATATTTTTCTAAAATGCCCATTTGTAAATTTTAATAATTTCATTGCTCTTTTGCAGCCGAATGCCTGTGCAACATTCAACTTTCTGAACAGTGAGCGGCGGCTGGTGGCCGCTGGTCTGATTCCTCCCTCTTACAGCAGAGCCCTAGAAGTGAAACAGGATGAAAGTGGGGACTCAAAGTGAGAGTGGAAATGGTCATTTAAAGATGAAGTTCACATTCAAGTGGGAGGATCGTCCTTCTTCTGCAAAGAGGCTTCAGAGTAAAATAGCAAACTGATCCAGCTACTGTGTTTCTGCAAACATCGGGGTAAATGCAGATTGAAGCAGGCTCAGTCTCAGGCATTTTTATCAAAGCTTTGAGCCACTTTGAGAAAAGTTGAAACAAAGTTGAGGCGAGTTTTCAGTGTCACATTGTGGTTTAAAAGTAAATACAACTTTCTGTCATAAATGAACAAGTTGAGTTGAGTAAATCTGTATTCTGCTGTATAAAGTCGTTGTATAGACTGGTTATAAATACATTTGTTAAATACCACGGTTTGAGTTATTTATTATACTCAGTGTTTCCATTATTTGTGTACTGAAAACATTTCAACATTTGTCATTTCAGTCTGCACAGCAGCATCTACAAAATAAAACGAGCTTGTTTGTGGCGGCTGTCCTTCTGGATAAGCCTCTTTGCTCTGTGCGTCCAGCAGCTCTGCAGCAGACAAGTTGCCTGTGCAGCATATGATATAATTCACTGGCTTTGTCCTTCTTACTCATAAGCCCCCAGCAGAGAGGAGGATCCACAAATCCCCTGCATGTTCGATTCATCTCTAATCAGCTGCTGCGACGCAACATGTCCAAAGTCAGTCTCAGCGATTAAACCCATGTCATTCAGATTCAGTCTGCAGCTGAGCTACTTTTACCTGAGACAAAATGCCCACATCACTGGGTGTTTTCAGAGTGAGCTTCAGTTAATGACACAAAGAACTATTTTATTGGTATTCTAAATAATATTCACACCTCTCTCCAGGGATTTAACAAAATCTCTGCCTATTAAAGCATAAACAATTAAATGTGTACGACTGCATGTTAGGGTCACTGTAGAAGGAGGAGTACATTTATGCCAAAAATTTCAGGAATTTTTTAAAAGAAAAAAACAATTAAATTTTTGAGTTTGAAAAGTTAGTTTTCTTGGAAAAAAATTCTGAAATTTTGAGATTATTATCTGAAATTTTTGAGAGAAAAAACTTGGACATTTCCGAGTTTTAAAAGTAGCAAATTAGCTAGGAAAAAAAATCTTAAATCTTAAAAATCTTAAAATTTGCTAAAGTCGAAATGTTCAACTTTTGAAACTCAAATTTCCAAGTTTTTTTTCCTCAAAAATTTCTGAGATTAATCTCAAAATCTCTTGAGTTTTTTCTAGCAAATTTTTGACTCTTCAAACTCAAAAATTTCTTTGTTTTTCTAGAAAACTTCTCAGATTAATATAAAAATTTCAGAGNTTTTTGGCAAAAATCTGCTGCTATTTTCCACCCGTCTACAATGGCCCTTATATGCGTATCAAAATTATAAATATAAGAACTACACAAAATAACACACACAAAAATCACACAGGGGAGGTAGAGGGCTCAAAAATTACACTGTTTCATGCAAGCTTTCTCAATCAGAACCAATTATAACAATCAAAAGGAGAAAAGGGGATTTCCAACATTTACATATCAGTCACAGTTCACTATATAACTACAGAGCTGCTTCACGGCTGTGTGTGGAAGCCATCTTGTCTGTTCAAGCGTTCCAGGTGGAGATGGCTCTCTCAGTCGTCGTCGGCGTTGTGGGACAGATTGCGAGGTTTTCCGAAGCAGAGCTCTGCTCCGGTGATCCGCCGGTACATGTCCTTGATGTCCTCACACTCTGAGTCAAAGTGGTTTGTTGCATCATAAGACCGGGACACAAATATCTAACACAGCAGAGAGAGGTGGGAGGGAAGTGATAAAAAACAGATGCTCTTCAGTTGTAAAAAATATATTTTTTGTAGCATTCAGATCAGAAGTGTACACACATCCATAAGCATGAATCTTTGAATAAATTTGGGCCTTTAGTGGGGTTTTTTTCACCCATTCTTTTTACAGAATAAATATACATAGCTGCACAAGTCATGATTTATTGTGGATGTTGAATACATACAGGCTGAAATATATACATAGATCCCCACTAATATTTGGTTGAATGTTGTAGAGAAACCACAAACTTTTGTAGCTATGAATCAGGTTTTGGATTGACCTTTGACCTGCCTTACCAGAAGTTCATTTAACTTCTGGTATGAACTTGGCTTTTAAACACAGACTGTATGTACACATTCAATAGGATGAAGGTTAGAGTCCATGTGAATGTTAGTGCTGAATCCATTCGTTCTACAGAGTCAGTATTACAGGCACATGGTGCCGTCTTCTAGCATAATTAAGTAACTATGTTACCTTTAGTTGTTATAAAAATGCTGTATATGTCAAATATAACTAAAAAGAAATTGGGCCTCTGTCTCTTTAAAAACTCCTGAAACTCCACCTTCAGGAAGTTAAAGCGACATTACTCCTCTATTAGCCCTATAGGTATGTTTTTAACACTGAGCAGTAGCCGTATAATGAGATGCTCAGTTGCACTAGGTGTTTGCTAATTGCTGCTGGCTAGTCTGAAGGAGCTGGGTGGGAGGGCAGCTCTGTGAGGCAGAACCTTGGAAATTGCAGCTCTGAGGAGGAGCTTCAGGGTCTTTTTTTGTTTGTTTTGCTCCCATGGTTTCTGTTACATTTTTTAAAAAATTTGGTGAAATAATGAAAAAGGTTGAAATATATAATAAATGCATCCCCGCTAATATTTTGGGCTATGTCTAGGTTCTTCAGCTTGACCTGAAATCAACAGTTTGATGGTTTCTGGTTGGACACAGTCGAGTCCCAGCAGGACAACGATCCCAGTCACACATCAATGGAAACAACAGGCTGATATTAAGTTTGTAGAATGACCCTGACCTCAAATCGATTATACAAATCAATTATACAAATTTGTGTTTTTCATAATTTATTTCAGTTGTTTGTTGTTCAAGATGTGACATAAGTCACTGAGAGCCCAAAATGAATTAGACATCCATGCTGATGACTGGTGTATGTAAAACTGTGACTGCCTCTGGTGGCTCCTCTCTTTACCTGACTCTTTCGTCCGTCCTCATTTGGAACCAGCACGTTGGTGACGGAGACAAACCTAGAATTATTAAAGTCATGCGAAAAACATTACAATAATGTACTGAAACAGACCTGAGCACAGAAAGACATGTCACTAACTTCTGCATGATGGGTTCCAGGAGCTCCAGGGCCGGCTCCACTTCTTTCTCTGGATTGTTGGTCTCTACAGTCGTGCTCACCGTGGCGATGTACATCCCGTCCGAGGCCAAACTGTGACTGTAGGACACTACACATATGTAAACGTCTGCGTGGACGAAACAGAAACATTCATGCAGAGTGGTGAGAGTTTATCAGGGACAGTCAGTAGGGATGAGAAATGTTATCGTTTTTTTACCTGACTTTCTGTTGAGCTCTGCCTGAGGGATGATGATCTGACAGGAGCTGGCCTCATGGGTGTTTTTAACCGGATGATTTAATAAGCAGATAACCCTTACGACACGTCCCATTTTCCTGACCCGGTTAGGAACGTAGCTGGGATCACAGATTAACTGCTTACAGTGGAAAACCTGTGAGAAACAAAAGGAAAAGCTTGTATCATTTAGAACATTTCAACTAAAGTTTCCCCTATGGTCCAACGTCTGCTCCACCTTCCCATCCGATTTGACAGCTTTCACTTTGCCGTTGTCCATGACAATTTCATCCACTGGTTTGTTCAGCAGGAAGGTTCCTCCGTACTCTGCACTCAGTCTGATAAACACACACAGATAGGAAAAATGTAAAGTCACTTTAATCCAGCAAAGACATGTCAGGTGGAATATAACACCCTGCAGCAGAAATTCACACCAGATATCTAAGAAATCCACACACACAACAAAACCTTTACATATCAGTCCATAAATTATGTGTAATAAAGTGAAATGGAACAAAAAATAAGTATTAAACACAAGATTTAAAGAAAGGTACCAAAGTACTTAAAGCACAATTTAATGACGCATCATTTCAAACTAATGTCAATGGGTTAGTTCTTTGTTTTGGCCAATAAAATGGTTACCAAGATGTTACACAGGAAGGTAAAAGCAAAGGGCTCTTTAAAGACTTTTACACTTTAATATTGAAAAATCTAATGACAGCATTGGTTACAGGCATGTTATTAAACTACTGGATGCTCAAGTGAGCTGTGCTGGATGTGTGACCTAAAGGAAATCAGCTGCAGCCAAATCTGCCTCATAAGATCAGAGGAACTAAAGAATAATCTGAAGAATTGTCAAAGAGTCACAGATTAAAATTCAGAAAGATCTCAAATGAGTGCAAATAATTTTTTTGTGAAAATAATAAGTAAACAGACGAGGAAAAACCTTGTTGAAGCTGGTTTAGGGTTTGCTGCTGAGATCTGAACAAGCCAATACAATACTAGGAGAATATGGTCTGTTCAGATGAGCACAAAACTGAACTCTATGATGCTGCAGAACCATGTTTGGAGATGAACTGGTGCTGCACTTAGTCCCAGTAACACCGGACCAACAGGAAACATCATTAGAGTTTGATTAGATTTAACTATCTGGGATTTCTCAGCAACACAAGGATCCCAAACAGAAAGCTGAGCAAATTCAATACCTGACCAATGCTTGGCACTAGTTTCTTCACATAGATCTTCATTACCATCAAAGACTTTTCTATGAAGTACTAAATACATTTTAGTAAGTTTCCTTAGTACTTTTTTTGTGTCATTCAACTTTATTACACATTTAACTTCTGACCTACTTTGTTTTGATTTCTTTCAAGTTCACTTGAGTTTGACACAAACATCTGGAGAAAGTTTCATAGAAATAAATCTACAATAAAAACATTTTACTTGTTTCAAGCTTCCCCCCCCCCCCCCAAAAAACCAAAAAAAAAAACCCAAAACTTTTAACAAAAATTTTCAAAAAACCCCCNAAAAACATTTTCTTTTTTTAAACCTCCCCCCCCCCCCCCAACATAGCAGAAAATTCAACACTAAAATCTTAATCAAGAATTTCAGAAAATGCCACGTTCCAGAAAACCCATTTAGGAAAGCTCAAACTAACAACAATGTTTCTTAAAACGCCACCTTAACGTTGCGATTGAGACGCGGTGAGATTCAAACAAATGACTGGTAACAGTGTTAACAGCTGCACTGTGCAGTCAGGCAGTGATTTATTTCTGAAATGTTGTGATATTTAGTTTGATCAAACTTTGTTCTTTTTTCAAATTTTGTTTTACTTTCATTAGTCCAATTAGACTCTGACTTTGCCTTTTGGCTCCATCTTGTGAATTTGTGAACGTTCAAGAAAAGCTATCAGTTCTGCATGACGGGAATGAGACTGAATTATTTTTCAGAAATTGCTCAGAGATAAATTTCAGTTGTTTTTTTGTTTTTATTTAACCCTTTCATGCATGAATTATGATCCTTTGTGTCAGGATTTCCCCCCAATTTTTTTTTAATTTTCTTAAGGCATAAAAAAAGGTAGAAAAAAATTTGTAAAGAAAAATTTTTATTTAGCTGATCAATTGTAATTTTCTCTAAATACAAAGTTGTTATTTGAAAAACACATCAGTAGTATTGTTCTTTAGGGGTTATCTGATGTCACAATATGTTTTGTTTCTTTTTTACCTGCAAGAGTCGTCTATAGTAGAAGGAGGGACCGGGTCGCTTGGCATTCTTTTTGGTCTGTCGGCCATATTGGATTTAACTAAAATAACTTCTTGCATTTGCAGCTGTTGGCCAGTAGTTGATAGTGTATTTTATGATGCATGAAGGGCCACTTCAGTGGTCTGTGTGCATTTATAACATAAAAATCCACAAGAAAATGGCTTTTAGACAGCTGTCCACTGTAGTGACCACATGCATGAAAGGGTTAAATACAACAAGTAGAAACTGTCTGCGTCTCACCGGGCGAAACCCTGCGGTAGCTCGCCGAGGCCGTACAGCGGGTACAGGTACGGACTGCTGTTGTGGCGGGACAAAGACTCGCAGTACCGCCTGATCCGGTTGATGGTTTCCAAACAGGGCTGATCCAGGTAGCTGCAGAGCAGGAAACCACATGGAGGCATCTGACCAGGACATCTGAAACATCTGGGATCACTAGCTCGCATCTTGACTGACCTCTCGCTGGAGTGTAAGGCTATGGCGTGACCTGTGACCTCTATGACGTCCTGTCCCAGGTCAAAGCGGCTGAACAGCTCTCGCGTGGTCGTTTTCTCAGGATCCACGTCCTGGTGAGTGCGAGGGTTTCTCGTGTCAAAGTTCAGGACAAAGTGCAGCATCTTCTTGAACCTCCTCTTGTCAAACATGCCCATCAGATCTGAAAATGTTGTAAAATCATAAAATACGTTTCTGCCTGTAGAAGTGGATTAAAAATGCTGATCTATGTCACCTGAGCACTGTGCATCCTCCTCTGTGGCAGGGACTTTGTGCACTTTGCCTGCTTTGAACACATAACTCCCTTCAACAACTTTGAAGTCCAGATAACGAGTCACCTCAGTGTGTACCAATATCTTTACCAGCTGGCCTGAAGCAAACACACATCAGCTGATGGTGAGATAAACCTAAAACAAGAAGCTCACTAATAGGATGAGCTACACAAAACTCACCAGTGGCAAGAAAAAACTTGGGAACGAGATCCACGTTCCACTCTTTCCCTCGTCGGATCGATTTAGGAGGGCCTGGAACCTTAAACCGCCTGTACAGCTGCAAACAAGATGAGCATTTAATACCAGCAACAAAGTGTAGAGATAAAGATGAAAGTCTACCGGGCCAGGGCAGGTGTGGATTCATGGTGGCAAGACAAAACCTTCACAAAACATCTCAGAATGGAGATGTTATACAAAAATGTTGAGAAAAACCAAAACGCAACAATTATTCCCACTGCTACGAAAATATTATAACATTTTCAGTATTAAAGTTATACCAGTATTTTTAACATT